GTGGTGTGTGTGTGTGTGTGTATGTGTATACACTGATTAGAAAAAAAAAGATATATATATATAGATTATATATATTATATATATACTGATATCTAAATAAAACTATAATAAATGATCGTAAATTTATGAAAAAAATATCTATAATCTAGGTGTAGATTATTAATATTAATATTGTATTATATCTTTAATATCTGCCATAATATCTGCCAATATAAAATCGTTGACAGTTGCTCGAGATTTACAAGCGGCGTTAGTTTCTCTGTCAAACTAACTCCGAATATATTCACTTCCGCTACAAGCTTTCATAACAACGAAATGCAGTTTCTCATGTAAAAACGAGTCTAAAAAGCCTGTCCTTTGCTTTGCTCCACTCTCTTCCGAGACTGAATCAAGCTGTAAACACAAAGGATAATAAAATAAAAACTTTCAAGTGTAGAACGACATTTCCCACATTTCACCATTGAAGGAAAAATCGTTGAATCACCGCTTTTTCCATCGTAACAGCGACGTAACACCTTCATTCTCACGAATGAACGTGCCTACGCGACCGCGAAACGCGCACTGTCAACGACAAGGAAGCCAACGACAAACAAAGAAACAGAGACAGAGAAAGATAGATAAAGAGAGAGAGAGAAAGAGAAAAGAAAGCAGGAGGCAGATCCTAACCTAACGGCACCGCCGGCAGGTATTTATAGCAGGAAGAGAATTATTTCAGGAAAAATTATGCGCATGTTTACTGACTGTACGGAATCGGGCCGTAAACCGAGGGGAGCGTGCTTCCGCTGCCAGCTTGCGGTCCGCTGATCGAATTCACGTGATCGGACAAAGGAACAACGCGGCGTCTCTGCCGAAACGCCTCGAGCCCGGCCACCTGTGAACTTTGCTCGGGGTGAACATTCAGCCTGCAGCCGCTCGCTCGTAGATCGATCGTCGAGTTGTTGTAATTGTTCACCAACTGCGGCGATCGCAGATCCACCGTCGCTGTTAAATCACCGCACGATTTATGCAAACCGCGCTCGAACCTCGGCGATAGCTCCTCCTTCGTCTGTTGACACTGATCCGCGTTAACTCTCCGAAGGTAATTCCCAACTTCCGACACCGTCTCTGTCCGTCGTTCATCGTTTCCACGGGAAGTTCCGTCGGGCTTCTTTTGTCCACAGCCCTCTCGATTGTCGTCGGAGGGACACTCGTCGCGAATAATGGCCTCCAAGCAACGACGATCGTAGTTTCGTACGAGCGACTGGTTCACCGTGTTCAATCGCTTCCTCTCCAGGGCTTCCACTTCCTCGTATGTTTCGTTCACCCTGGACAGGTCCAGAGGAGGTGGCACTTTCGTCACCTTCACTCGTCGCAGGGTGAAGCTGGTCGGTTCCGCGCGAATGTTCGACAGATCGATCTGCGACCCGAATCTGCGAAGGATCGGTTCGCTCTCTTTGGTCTCTCGGTCTCGAACGCTTCGAATGTTCGTCGTCGCTGATTTTGAACAATTATTCGTCGACGGGCTATTGGCCGGGAATACGCTGCTCGAAGAATCGGACGTCTTCTCGTAGAAGGATAAATTTGGCAGCGACTTGCAGACACTCTCCAGAGAGTCCCATTCGTTCGTCGAATTGAATTTATTCCTCGTCCGATTTTTACTTTTATTGTACAAAGTTTCGTTTGATCCGTAATTGTCTCGAGTTGTTGCGCGCAAGTGTCTCGAATTATCCGCACTCGTTCTTTGATCATTTAGATTTTGGAAACGACGTTTTGGAAAATCGTTTGTAGAGTCATAATTCCCAGGTTTGTCAGTCTCTTGCCACTGTTGAGATACACCTGTTGCCACGTAGTCCGACTCGTTGATCCCACGTTCTCCACTCTGACACTCTGACAGCTCATATCGGCTAGTCCTGCCACTCTGTTCAACATTGTCTAAATCGTGCTTGGAGTTACTCAACGAATTGAACTCTTGGCCAGGTTTAGAATTAAAAACCGTGTTACGTATGCCCGTGGGTTTCTTGATTTCGTACAGTTCGTTCTCCGATGGCGCGACGTTCACCAACAGTTTCCCATGTCTCGTGGTCGACAGGATGCGCCCTCCTTGTACATGGTTCACGTTCGTCGAGCTGGTGCTGTGAGAGAACTCGTTGTTGCAAGTCTCCTGCTCGACCAATTCAGGCGTGACGTTCGACTGACACCTGGACTTCCTGTCGTTGCTGCTTATGGACGACTGATTGCTCTGGCTGGTGATGGTCTCCGTGCTGCCGAAACCGCTGTACTTCGACACTGTGCCGGGATTTTTGCTCTCGTAGCCTTTGGGGAAGTCATAGCCGGCCGTGTCGTTGCCCGGCATGCTGGCGAAGAATTTCCTTCTCAAGTATCTGTTGCGCTCGAAGATCTCGTGCAGCCTCTCTCTCGTCCCGCTGTACGCAGGCTCGTTGTCGTAGATCCTGCCGTAGTTTACCGAGCATTTGTCCTCGTCGAAGGGATTTCGAGATCGATGTGACGAGTCGCGGCGCGCGACTTGATACCCGTTGCATCCTTCGTCGTTTACATTTTCGTTGCATCGAAGAGAGCTGTATCGTTTCTGTGCCCGCGGATGACACTGGAAGCTCCCTTCTTGATCGTAATCGTCGAGGAAGTAGCTCCTCTCGAACTCCGTCTTCGGCCTCCAGCTCCATCGATACGTCCCCGCGGTATTCGATTTCGAGAAATCGTTGCTCGTTTCGAAGTCGTCGTTCAACTCGTCGCCGGATTCTATCCACACGGACGTCGCCTTTTGCATCTGCGGCACCGAGTATCGCTGATAGTTGGATCGCAACGGTTGACGCCTGGAGTGGCGATGGTTGTTCAAGCGACATAGTTTCTCGAGATCGTTGATATCGTTGGTGAGACTGGCCCATTGGGCACTATTCTCTAGGTCGTCGACGCGTGGCAAATTTGAATTTGCCATTTTTACTTTATTTCTTCCTTTTTCTCAATGTTCCATCACAATGCTGTTCTTTAAGGATATTCACGCGTTGTTAACCCACTTTTGCGTGTGAAAATTGGAGATCAGAGATATGTATCAGATGATTATTTATTTTAGGAAGCTTCTACGCGCGACAAGTTTATACGTTGACGAAATTTGCACGAAACTTGTGGACATTTGGTTCATTTTTGGCTATTTTTCTGCCACTTTCGTTGCATTCTTTATTATTCCAATTTTATTTTTAATCTTAGTATGTATAAAATATTTTATTAACCGAAATAAATAATATGTTGCTGATTTAGTATATTATACTCTTAAAGAGATTTATAAAACACTTTTTACAAAACGTCCAGGGATAAAACACACGTCAAAAATCAACAGAGTTGAATCAAAAAGAAATACTATTTATTGTTATAATATTTTCTAAATATTTAAATTACTTTTATCCCTCTCATTTATATGATATCGTTATTCTCATTTTCTTAGAAAATCATTCGACTATTCTCATTTATAATTATTTATAATTTAAGGCCAAGTATAAATATGAGAACCAGCCCGAGATCGAATCCCGTATCTGATAAATATATCCCCGATCATAGTAACTGATCTTCGTAACTGATTGTTAATTATAAAGTACAGAATTATCAACACTCTGTCACACGGAGCGATTTAATTAACTTTCACTGTCGAGATAATTGAAATTTTATTATCACTGGTTAATCAACTTCAAACTAACGTGAATGTAAAGTTGTAACTGCGTTCCTTCGAACTCGTACAAGTAACACTCACTTTATAATTCTCGGAATCGCGACTCATTAAAATCCATCTCACTGGTAAAAAAAAAAAAAAAAAAAAA